GGTGGGTGGATGGATGGTTGGATGGATGGTGAATAGTGGCATGGTGGGTGGGTGGATGGTGAATAGTGGCATGGTGGGTGGGTGAGTGTATGGATGAATGGATGGATAGATGGATAGGGAGGAGGGAATGAGGGAGGAGAGATAGACATAAGACATGTTGAGACCTCAGGGAAAGGAGAACTTTCTGCCTTAGATTCAGAAGAAGGTTCTAGAAGGGATGGTAAAGGAGAATGTTTTTGAAGGAGGGAAGGAGGTTTCTACACAGTTGAGTGTAGGGGTGGGAGCCAAGATGTGTCAAGCAGAAATCCACACAAGTCAAGGTGCAGAGGGCTAAGTGGGCGGGTGCAGAGGGCTAAGTGGGCGAGGTTTGCACCCTCAGCACAGGGTGGGTGGGGCGAGGGCGGGTTAACGGGCATTTGAGAAAATGCTATGGGTTCCCATAGGTCACAGAAACGGGACACCCCACCACTTAAAATGGCTATTTGAGCTCTGGGACTGACAACATATTGCAGCTCAGGTCTGGTGGCCGTTTGGCATGACCAAGTTGCAGCAGAACTTATCCCAATGACCTTCCTCCCTGCTTCCCTCCTCCAGCCACTCCATCCCCACCGACTGTGCCAGGGGCCAGCTATCAGGGCAGCCCCTCTGCATGAAGCAGTATTCCGGGCTCTTCTCCTCCTACCGGCTCCCTGGCCACTCCCAGGACACACTGGTGGCCCAGAAGAGCAGTGTCATGCCGGAGCCCGAGCACGTCATTGTGGCCTGCTGCAACCAGGTAAGCTCACCCCCACTGCCAGGGCCTTGGACTCCGGCTGGGTATGGGACATGCAGTGGCCACGTGTGCTTGCCCACTCCTGCTTCTCTAAGAGTGCTTTGCCTACTTCCTGGGGTCACACGGAAAGCTGGACACAGTGGCCCCAATGGGTTGGCTTTTGAGTACCAGGTGAATCATCCATTAGAGAATGCCCCTGCTGGGCTCTCACCTCAGCCCTGACCGGCCAGGCCAGGTTGAAGAGCTGCCTGGTTGGACGGAGCTGAGTGAGACCCAGCATGGCCTTGGCATCTCCACCTTGTGTCTGTTGGTTCCATGCCATCATCGGGCCAAGGCCTTCCAGGAGACCACCAGGCCCACAGGTCATGGACTGACTGCTCAGACCAGCCCTGTGCCTGACCATGGGTTTGCCTCTTACACCCCCTCGCCCCATTCCTTCTCACAATGGCCCTGAAGAGAGGCCTTGGGATCGCCCTTTAACAGATGAGGAAATGAGACTGAAGAGTGAGGTGGAAGGACTCCTAGGTCTGGCGAGTGTCCCACAGCCCAGCTCTATTGCCTGACACTCAGGTCTTCAGGCTGGGCTACATTGAGCTAGTAAGGCCCCTTAGAGGCCTGGGGGACACTGAGCAGGAGGGTTCCAACCCCTTTCCAGCACCCAGTGTATGTCCTGTATATTGAGATGTCTCAAAAATACTTGGTCTGACAACTTTTCTTTTTTCAAAAACCCACTTTCAACAATGGTCCCAGGGACTCCCCTGGTATTATTCTATGGTGTTTTCTTCCTGGGCTTGTCCCACATGGTTAGAAAGTGCAGTGAAAGCCCACCCACCGAGGGCAGCTGCCAGCCCTGTTCCCAGCTCCGAAGGCCAACCAGGAGGTTTCCCAGCCCACTCTCACCCTGGCTGGCCACGGATAAGAACTTTCTCCATCTTCATTCGAAAGTCAAACCCAACATTTTCCAGTCCCCACATGCTTCTGGAAGTATATCCCTTCCAGAAAAGTCCTCGGGGCACCTGTTCCAGACCAGGCACACGGACACTACTCAGGGCGGGCACTCATGCCAATCAGCTGGGAAGGGCAGCTCCTTCTGAGTCTGGGCAGAGACCCTTACAGAGCCCCAGGCTCTGGCCTCCAAAGCTGCAGAATGACAGCACCATGGGGCTGGCACGAAAGGGTACGCGTGTGTGCGTGCACAGGTGTGCAGAGTTTTAGGTGTTGGTTTCCATTTTAATCTTCCTCATCATATTTCCCACTGGTCTGCTTTGTTCTCCACTCATCAACATGTTGGAGGTCTCTCTCCGGAGCTCTCTCTAGAGCCCGCTCATTCTTTGTAATGGTGGGTAGGCGTGCATGGGACCAGCACACTGTTCTCTGCTGAGCCGTTCATGCCTGGAGCGCAGCGAGGTCTTTCTGCTGCTTTGCTACTGCAAACAAGGTTGCTACGTACATTCCTTCATATGCTGTCTGCTGCACATGGACGTATGTTTCTCTAAGGCGCAGGCTAAAGTAGGCCCGTGGAAGTGCAGGTGCCAAGTCAGTGCAGCACGCGCATGTTCAATTTTAGTGGACACTGCCCTCGACAGTGATCATGCCGTTTACACTCAACCCCCCCCCACACACACACACACACAATCGTTATATATGAACTAGGAGCCATGAAAGCAAGTTTTCTTTTGGCTAAGTTTAATCTGGCTTCCTTCGATTGGGGGCAGCTTAAAGTCCAGTCCAGACACCAGCACTGGGTGGGCCCCCAGATGGTGAGGGTGCAGAAGCACCAGCTATCTTAGGAACCTCTGGCCTGCGCATCCCCATCCTGAGGTCTCCCGTGAAGGCTCAGCAAGGAGACCCGGGCCGGCTGCCACGAGTGACGTGTTACCTGTCTCCCCACAGTTCTTTGTCTTGGATGTTGTCATTAATTTCCGCCGTCTCAGTGAGGGGGATCTGTTCACTCAGTTGAGAAAGATAGTCAAAATGGCGTCCAACGAGGATGAACGCTTGCCTCCCATCGGCCTGCTGACGTCAGACGGGAGGAGCGAGTGGGCCGAGGCCAGGACGGTCCTCGTGAAAGGTCAGCAGCAGTGCCGGGCGCACCTCACACTCATCCCATCTCATGCCCACTGGCTTTCCCTCCTCCGGGCCGGGCCGGGCGCCATGACCTCATCCTCATTAGCCGCAGAGTGGGCGCTCAGGGCTGGGCAGCGGCCCTGTTTCCACCGAGGCACCTTGAAGCTGAAGGTGCCTTCTGTGTCCTCGGGGTTCATGCGATGATATTCCAGCTGTCTGGACGAGCCTGGCACTGGGTTGTGGGGTTTCTGGGAATAGTGAGGGGGAGTTTCAGCTGGAGCAAGGCTGGCTGCAGTTACTCGGCTGGGCTTTCCCGGTGGGCTGGGCTGTGCTCATTTGTCTGAGTTGCTGGGAGAGGGGTCAGGTGGGGGCTTAGCAAGGAGCCCCCTCTGGGAAGGTGGCTGGCTGCCTTCTTCCCTCGATTTCTCAATTTCACCATCCTGGGACTTTTCACCTTCAAGCTGACCCTTGTCCTTCCAACTGGCCACTACCCCATGAGAGTCTCCAGATATTTTCGTAAGAAAGCCAGTAATGTTATTGAAAGTCCATCACCCTTCTGGAAATTCCTTTTCAAATGCAGAGCCAGGCCTAGTTGCGGGAGCTGGATGGAGTGCCTTCCTTTCTTGCCCGTGTTGGCAATCCGGGAATGAGAAGCAAGACACTGATGAGTCTCCATCCTGCTCCGGATTTCGCAGGGCCAGGCTGTCTGCGTGTCTCTAATGGGTGCACTGGGCTAGGACTCAGCGTGTGAGCGATAGAGGGAAACAGGCCCCAGCCCAGTCAGTCGAGGTGAAGAGAGGGCGTGGGGGAGGAGCTCAAACACAAGGGGTTGAATATTTACCCACACAAGGCAGTGGGGGCTGTGGCTGCCAGGAAAGTGCTCTGGCACTTCGGAAAGGAGAGGGAGCCCATCCAGTTGGGATTTTGAAAAGCTTGGAGGAGCTAGAAGTGGGGCAAGTCCTGCGCCCTAGTGCAAGGGGCTGGAGGGAGGGAGCAGTGACATTCCAGCAGGGACATTTCTGCCCTATCCAGAGCCACTGCAGGGCAGCCTGCTGTCAGAGATGGCCCCGCAGGTCATGCCGGGCACTTGCATTTTCTGGTCCTTCTCTCCAGAGCCAGCTGTTTCCTGGTGCCATGCAGGGGTTGGCTCAGTTCCAGGGCCTGGGCCCTAGCAAGCACCCCATCTCATGTCAGCACACTCATCACCTGGATCACACTGCTCCCGGCCGAGGGCAGCCTCGCCTCTGTTCCATTAATACCCGCTACCGGCCTCCTGACCCACCCCGCCCCCATCTGTGAGGTCCAGAGAACAGGGGCCTCTGTTGGGTTTAACGTGGGACTCTGCTGTGCCAGGCACAGAGGACACAGCCACTGCGTTACGTGAAAGAATGAAGGTTGAAAAGTGCCACCTGGCCCCAGACTCACTTCCCACTTACCAATGAGTGACTTCCGTCCAGTTATTGGGCACCTGCTGAGTGGTCCGTCCTAAGTAGGGAGCTGCAGGGGCTGCCGAGAGGTCTGAGAGGAGACCGATCGGGCTCACGGCCATGGTAGGGAATTAATAACTTACCATTTGAAAGTGAGTTCATTCCCTCAGGAGACTGGGGTGTAATCAAATCCCACACTTCTCCCCTCTGGGGACAAAGACAGGCCTCGAAATAGCCGCCTCTGCTTCTAGCGTAGTTCCCACTTTATTAGGCGGCCAGGCCCTGCCGGAGCTCCTCCAGGACTGTCCGGGGTTGCCTGGAGCGCTGAGTGCTTGGCCGCACTAATCAGAATTAATTTGCTAATGGCACTTGATCTGGCTTTCTGAGGGAAGCTCGACACAAAGGAGGGGACACTTGCACCTCCCCTTGGGAAATCCGATTAATCCAGTTAGCAGGAGACTGACATCTACACAGCAGGAAACCAATCCTTCACGGGGGCCCTCCTCCCCAGAGCCCACCATGGAAGCAGGGAGACCATGTAGGACACACCCCCAGTTTGGAGGGGAAAGATTATGCAGCCGGGTGAGGGCTGACAGTGAAGGTGGAAAGCCGAGGTGGGTCCAGGTACCCAGATGGTCCCTGACTTACGATCTGTTTGACTTGACAGTGGTACAAAAGCGATAGGCCTTTGGTAGAGACCGTACTTCAAGTTCAGTTATCGGCCGTCTCCGCTGTCAGTTCAGAGGCCGCTAGTTACGGAGACGGCCGGCACTATTGTACACAGCCTGTGTGTTAAGCCATTGAGCCCGGCTGCGTTGTGGAAGCGTCCAGAGCGTATTCGAAGCAGGCCAGACTAAGCGCTGGCGTTCGGCAGGGTGAGTGTGTTGTACGCATTTTCGACTCAGATATTTTCAGCGTGTGACGAGGTTACGTCCCAGGAGATCCATCATAAATCAAGGAGCATCAGTACCCGTAGGCGGAGGTGTTGAGAAGGAAAAGAGAGATTCCGGGTTTGTTCCGAGCCTCCGAGGGACGATGGTGCCATTCCATAAGCTGGGAACGGGTGGAGGGGCGTTGAGACAGAACCGAGAGCCGTTCCGAGCGTGTGTGGCTCCAGCGGCCTTGCGTCACCTCAGCGT